ATAGCTGAAAATTCTGTCGGACACACCATTTTAGCTCAAGTAAGTGAAAGTTTTATTAGCGTATGTTTTTGCTATTCGTTTAGTAATTAACTAAAACTCACTGTGTTGTTAAACCTTATTAATAATCACTTTCACGTGGATATTAATCTACGATGTTTTGTTTCCAACAGCGCTGCCCCGTTATTTACTCTTTGAGCTAAAACAGCTAGCATGCACGTCTAATGTTGTTGTCTCCTGCAGATGAATTGCATGCTTTGCTTTGTATAAATGTGTTTATTGAATGAATAAATGGTGCTGAGATAAAGTTATGACCATGGAATGACGTACTTTTTTGTCTTGTGATCTCTGTGCCAGTGCTTTGTGGACACCTTAATTTTACTTTAAAAAGAAAGTTGAAGATGCAAACTAATTGGCTGATTTGCATTGTTTTAGAAGGCAGCTACATTTGCATGGTTCCTTTTTCCACTTTAGTACATATACTAAAAATTGTTGTTTTTTTGTTTGTTTTTGTTTTTTAAATCCAAAGTGACTTACAGTACAGGGATCATTCCCCGTGGCAAAGCTGTGGTTAAGTGCCTTTGTTTTGGGGACAATGGTCTTAGTTAATAAATCACCACCTGTTGTGGGTTTCAAACCAAGATTTGGTTACCGCCATCAAAGACATGTAATTCATAAGTTATATTCTGCTAAATTCTACATGTAATGTAAAACAAAAATATGTTTGTGTTCTGCAGGCTGTGTTTTGTAACGTGACATGCATCTGTAAAAGGGTTGTCAAGCCTAAAACATCTACAGCGGCTCCATGGAACCCAGTAACGATGTGGCGCTTGATATCATCATTACCAATGTCGTCTCTGTCTTCAGAACCAGGTGCCATCTAAACCTGCGTACCATCGGCCTAGAAGGGACTAATGTCATCTACAAGCCAGAAGTGGGAGTAAGTCTAGACAGTCAGATGTTTTAGATCACAGACATTTGCATGAAACAATTATGTAAACAGGGCCAATTTTTTTTTCATCAAATAGTCAGTTACCTTCTTGCCAACATTTAATATGTGCTCCCTTAAATTAAATACAAAATGTTTGTTTGAGTATTGTTCTTACAATAGGTAATAGAGATGAATTGTGCTTGATGAACAATATGGTTAAAATAACAATTTGTGTAAAAATTGAATAACAGAATGAGATGCCATGCCATAAGAAGAGTGTTATTTTTTTCTTTTAAGACTATCGGGTCTGTTACATAATAGTTTTAACATGTCTAGACTAGTAGTTTTGCATAACAAACAAAAAAAAACATACATTTTGTTCCACTAAAGTTGTAATAGGACACTAGCATGTACACAATTCATGGAAAGTGGCATCAACGTTGTTTTCACCCTTTGCCTGAGATTGTCAGTATCAGCAATATTAATTAGGATATGGCTAATCATTAACACGTGTTTATGTTCTGTGGATGTTTTTCCAGAAAGTCCTGATGAAGCTGCGAAAACCACGTATCACTGCCTCTATATGGTCATCAGGGAAAATTATTTGCACTGGAGCAACAAGGTCCCAATAAAATCTCCTTTTCAATTCTCAGAACTGCTGGAAGAGTTGTTTGTGCTACTTCTAAAATTGCAGTTGTCTTCTTAGATACTGTTTGTTTTGGTGAGTTGGTCAATTTCTTGTATGTTTATTTTGCTTTAGTGAGGAGGAAGCCAAACTGGGTGCTCGCCGATTGGCCCGCTGTCTGCAGAAGATTGGATTCAAGGTGTCTAAATGGATTAATAGCAACTTGACAATTTTGTAAACGGCTTTGTAGATCTTCTGAATGATGATTAAAACTGTATTTTCACATCTGCAGGTGAGGTTCTCGGAGTTTAAGGTTGTCAATGTGTTGGCTGTGTGCTCCCTGCCTTTTCAAATCCGTCTCATTGAGTTCACTAAAAATAATCGTCCCATTGCCAGGTAAGACCTCCCAGGGTGTTCTCCATACTTTGGGACTTTGTCCTTATGCCTGTTGATTTGGTATTAACAACTGTTTTGAGCCGAACTGACAAATGGTCAGTGCAAAATAAAGTGATGATAGTGATGAAATTGGAGACCTTCCTCTCTATAAAATTCAGTCACAAGTGGTCACAGGAGACACATTTGAGATGTATGTTAATACCAGCTGTGAACATTAATGTGCCCCATATGACCACGTGCGATCAGATCGCGAGAGATGGATGTTAACGCCAGCTTTAAAGGAACCTTAAGAGCCTAAAAAAAGGGAACAGTGCCCTCTAGTGGTGAAATGGTGTATGCGGCGGCATTGAGCAATCTCACATGTTCTCCTGCAGCTGGATTGCAGGGATCTCATCACTATGTTTGTGTCTGTATGTATTTTTAGCTATGAACCCGAGCTCCATCCTGCTGCGACATACAGAATCAAAAACCTCAGGAGTACAGTGCAGGTGTTTTCCACAGGCAGTATCACTGTTACAGGTAAATCACTCACACACATTTCACTCAGTATCGTTTTGTCTGGAATATGCTGCAAAAAATCTAGACAGTTGAAGATCCTTTTAATACAATGCCAGCCCTCGGTATGTAATGACTTCAGTGCAGGCGTCTATAGAGCTCATACAGATTATTGCATTAGTCACATATTTTAAGGATTATTCCTAGATTATTTAGCCACATTATTTTAAAGACAGCCAGCAGGATTCATCCTATGCAGACTATAAAGGTCTGAAAATGAGCAAACATAATGCTGAGAGCTACAATGACGCTCTGAGTCTTGAGTAAATGTTTTTATTCACTAGAGGCGCAGAAGGTATCATTTAAATTATATTTATATTTTCAGCTACATTTTATTTATTTATACGATTTTTTACTTAAAGGGATAGTTCACTTTGAAATTAATTTTTGATATGTTTAGCTTACCTCAAGGGCATCCAAGATATAGATGTCTTTGTTTCTGCAGTAGTTTCAACATTTTTCGGTCAAACCGTTCTTGTCTGTCAGTCATATAATGGAGGTCTATGGTCACCACCTCAAAGAGCATGCACAGGGAAGTCCAAATTAAACATGATTTAATGACTCGTCTTAAATGTAAGTACACATTGATGGCCTAAGACACGAAACAAGCGGTTTGTGTGAGAAAACAAACTATATTTATTTAAGAATAATTTCATGATGTTGACATTTACACAATTTAGATTGTGAATAATGAATGTGACCACCTGCTTTCTTACGTTTAGCATAAAGACGAGCTGAACTAATGTTGGATCTTATTGTTAATGGCCATTTTTTCTCTCTCTAGGACCAAATGTTCAGACTGTGGCATCTGCCGTGGAGGAGATTTATCCTCTTCTGTTCGAGTGTCGAAAAACACTGTCATAAACCACGCATACACGTAGGCACCGGTTTGAAATTAAAAGCACCTTATTATTGAATGTTTTAAGGCTTGTAACTGTTGTACTGTATGTGTCTCCAAGGCAGCTTTTGCCATTTCACGTCCAAGCGGGTCTAGGTCGTGTGTTTTCAGAGTCATGCCTTTGAACGTTGACTGGTGTTCTGACCCCATGGCAATTACAGATGACCTCTTGATTCAGAAGAGGACCATTAGTGCATTGACATTGTGTTGCTGGCATTGTGTAGTTATGAACACTTGAAATAACTGTATTATAATGCATGAACACCAAAGTGAAACTGGCAGGCAGTGACATTTAAAGATTACATTTTACTGAAACTTCTTGGAAATTTTAACTAAATTGATTCTAGGGACGTCTTCACGGCTTATTTATTGACACTTTAAGTCAGAAGCAAGAGGTTAAAGGGCAAACACTTCACATTTAAGCAGCAGGAGATGTATATCTGTTGTATGCTGTGGACAAGAACACTCTGGGTTGTTAAGGAATCTTTGGTCCATAAGTTTATGTAATATGTGAAAACTTTTGTATTTTATAATAAACAAAATAAAAAATAACCCCTATATTAAGTCATAATTGTCACTAATTTTTGAATATATCAGCATTACTCGTATATTAATTGTTTTAGTAACTCATGGTTCATTTGATTATGGTTTCATTTTATGTTTATATCCATTCTGCAGATTTTCCTCACAATTAGCAGTGTAGGCCTGTTCATATTTCATTTCTGACACGGAAATCACTCGAAAGTGGCAAAGGCCGTATAAAACCTGGTAATAAGCAACCACATTTTTTTTTTTTTAATTTAGTAAAAAAGTTGTAAAAGTATTTAAAAGAAAAAAAATGTTTTGGAGCACTTATGTGGCATGATTTTATCCTCTGTTCTACTACACTATAAAAAAGTGGCTGCCTTACATTTTTAGGATGTTTAAGACATTTCAACTTAAATTACATTATACTGACTTTTAAAAAATGAGTTGATTCTTGTATAACTTGCTTAACTTATTTTGATAGGTAAAAAAAAAAAAGCGTCAAATTATTGATCATATAATTTTTTCGCAGTTATGGTACGGAAAAACGAATAAAAAAACATGAATAAACATCAGCGGGTATGTTAAAATAACTCAAAAGTATCATCCCTCATATAACTGCTCAAGCGTTTCAACCAATGTAAACAAGTCACATGTACCACAAGAAAGTCATGCAATCAATTTACTTAACTTGCTACAATCGTAACTATATTTATTTGCAGTTTTTTATTTAATGATTTATAATTAGAAAATGTGTTTTAACAAATCAAATTCTTTTTGATGCATAAATAACGGAGCAGGAAACGTTTCTTTTTTTACTAAAATCACATATATTTTTTTTTAAATTAACCAAATTCCATTTTGTCATATTACATATTGCTTGTGTAATCTGATGGCACGAAGGCATCTCAAATCAGTGACACCTTGAAGTGTTGTCTAAGGTGGTGCTCAGCACACAAATACTGATAGGCCTGTGTGGCCGGGCCACAGAATATCTTTAACTTGACATGGCATGATTATAACTTCCAAAACATTTCATAACAGTGAGTTGTAAAATCTCCGAGTCTTAATACAAAACTTAATACAAATAAATCAGATTGACATATTAAATTCATCTCAACTGACCCATCGTGCCATGGTAAGGCTTAAGCAAAATTGTTTGCTTTAATGAACACATGATAGCATTAATTAGTCATATCTCTTCTACACAGTAGATCGGTGTAGTCACAGATTTGGCTGCCCTGTAAGTTGTCCGACGACATAGAGAACAATGCAAATGCAAATATGCTAGTGCTCTTCCACTCTTCATCTAGGTAAAAAGTCAAACGCTTGCAAGAGCTTTTTCCTCCAGTGAGGGTTGTGCTGTAGTCTGGTGTTTTCTTCTATGACACAGCAGTGTGGTGCTCAGGTGATTCCTACAAAACAGGACACGTGTCTAATCGTTACGTGATGCACTTTAGAACATTAACTCCCTGATGCATGCAGAATGGGGCAAATGCCAAGCATTGTAAAAAGAAAGTTTTTTGATTGTATGTTTCCA